TCGAGGGTTGAAAATTGTATCAATGTTTGTTTACGAGCATTGTTTAAGTGTTATATGTTTAATATATTTAAATGGTGTATATAAAAGTCAATAACCGTCGACATGAAATCTCTGAACTCAAATTGGCACGTTGTTCCCATCTTATTTTGATAACGCTGCTCTTAAATATCATGTTAGTAGATGGTTTGCACACATAAGTGTAAACCAGTTTCTAAATTAACTTTCAAAATGATGCCACTGTAAAAGGTGAGATCGACTTGACGAAACTTTGATGTCAGCGGCATGCTCTAGTGTATCGCAGCATTTTAAAACTCGATGCTGCGCTGCTAAGTAGATAAGTTTAGTTACGTGCATCAGCAATGTAGAAGCATCCCGTTACTTCGGAGCACATTTCGCGGTACGGTACCGTGATCTAATTGTAAATGCATGCCTACTGGTGGCTGCGGCTCTTCTGGGCAGAAGTTTCAACACGCTGAAGCACCAACGCTGTCTGCAAACATTGCTTGGCAAATTTTTGAAGCATCTTAAGCTGGGTATTTGTGCTTTGCTTCACTGCTTAAGTCATTGTGAGCAAAACTAAATGGAAAGATCTTAACAAGCGCTTGGGTGATGGGGGTCAAATTACCCCCCCTCCCCGAAGGTTTTTCAAAATGGTTTCCGAACAGCGCGGCACAGCCGCGCCAAATTTTGCATAGCTGTAGACAATTAAATATCAAATCGTTTGGTGAAAAAATTACCCGTACCTTGTATGGTCGCTGACCTATGGCAGGTCAAAGTCAGGCCATGGTTTCAGCGAAGCCAGTTTCTAGCGAATCGTTGAATCTGATGCAACAACGGAGTGTTGGACAAAGCCATGCATCTCTGAAATGCTTTCTTAGACAAGGAAACAACTAAATGGGCAAGTTGCATTGACCTAAGGTTAGGTATGAAGGTCAGACCAAGGTCAAAACCAACATGTTTTATTGCTCTAGGGCTTGTTCTATGAGACGGTTTCTGGCGCTCATTTAGAATGTATTGATAGCAGGAACCGCATTCTACATCTTCCATGGCCTTCTTAGAGGTCAGAATAGGTCATTGGCCTAAAATGGCCCAGGTCAACATTTAGCTGTTAGGAGCACAATGCCGAGCGTGATCTTTGCCACTTGTTCAAATGCAAAACTCATAGCAGTCTTGTATGATTTTGGTCACTATGACCTTCGAAAGGTCAAACAAGTTCACTTATCTTGATTGAGCATGTGACCTTTTGCATAGAAACGGTTGTCTAGGTTTTGGGGCACTTTGAAGACTAACAAGGAATTTGACCGTGTTTGACCTTATTTGACCCGAAGGTCATGACCTAGATATCTCAAACTTTGACATAAGTGAGTTCACGTACAGGTCAACATACCCTGCGAATTTGGTGTTTCTAGCTCTCATAGTTCTTGAGATCACAGCGGGGGACCAAAATTGACCCCCACTGGAGCGAAGTGTATCTAGCCGGCCAACCGGGCGCGTGTTAAAGGCCGAACTGTCTGGATGTGTTATGCCAGATAGCCACAGTTCGTCGCGTACAGTATGAGTCACACCACATGTATGCAACTGAAATATAGACACCGTGAATTACAGGCTCAGCCTAGTTTCCATCGTCTTAGACCCAACAAAAGCTGCAAATAGTAACCATGTTTGATGGTAGTAGTAATTTGATGGTTTGTATACTAGGTGTCTAGAAACGGAAATGGATTCGTAAATAATTTTAAAGAAGAAAGCCTACGAAAACTTCCTTGAGAGTCTTTTCTGGCTAGTGCCACGTCTGTCATATAACTATTTCCATTTATGGCATGAAATCGATGTTGAATTTTCAAAGTGACGACAACTTCGTCTCGTTCCCGTCATGTAACATCAGAACTCTGCTCCGTTGTTTTGGAACTGGAGAGACGTGTAACAAAAAAGACTGTGGACATGAAATTAATCACACACACACAAACAATGTTTTGACCCCCTGTCAAGGCGATCCCTGGTTTCTGAAATTTGGGCAGGCGATTTCCAATCGCGTTCGTTTGCCTTTTCCCAATTTGCCTTTCATTTGCCATTTATGCGGGGTGATGTTTAAATCGATAGCATATGGTAGGACTACGGAAAACCCATTTTAATGAAACAGCCGACGAAGAAACACCTTGACAATTGTATAGCACATATTTTGTCGGGCTGTACTGAAAACTGCATGGCGACACGGTCAGTGGTGGCAAGGACCTGTCCAAAATGAGACTGGCTTAGGCGGGCCGGATCGCTGTCGGTTGACAAACTTGGATACGGGCCTCGCCAATAATTTGTTTGGATTGCGTGATGCGTATATTAAACATAAATGAATTTGAGCCGGGTTTTCCGAAAGTCACCGACTCCACAATGCTCAATTAAATGGAAGTTTAAAACAGGAGTCTATTTTGATTCTCTTGCTTGACCTTAAACCCCATAGTCTTCAAGTTGCCTTTCCGTTCCGAACTATGTGCTGACTTCCCGCTAGATATGTCAGTGGTTTGGCGCTAACGATGAAGTTGTGGTGATCACATTGGCAATTAGTAAGTCACCTGACAGGGCTGAATTCTGCACACGGCGCTGGCTTCGTTCAACTAAGCAGTAATGCGCAGGGGCTCTGATCCGGGCGAGGCCGATGAGCCGATCCCTAGTGTGCCATACAGACGTGGAGCTGCAGCAGCACGCGCTGATGACCTTCTAGCTCATCCTTTTTACTAATACGTTTCGGTTATGCTGAGCAGAGCTGAATGTTTTGTTTGCTGAAAAAGCTTTCTTTTGTAATAAATTGACCCGTTAATGTGTGGAGTTCTTCGTTTTTCCTTGTGCCTATTCGCTCTAATGATGTAATGATAAATCACCACTTTCTATCTTTTGTCTTCATTACCCATCTAAATGGCTGTGAGAGGTCACACAAGTGTCATATATCACTGAGGTGCACCTGAATCCCAAGCGTTGTGGGAGAGGTGGGTGGGTGCAATCCCCCTCCGAGTCTCAGCTACTGCGGGTTATTGAGTACATCAGTACGCAACTCTTGCAAATGGGGAGAGGCTCCAGCAGTGATTCAAGCCCTCTGATTAGCACACTCCGTCTGGAGCCGTAGTCAGGCGGCGCCACAAAAACATGACGGCAGCCGGCCTGCTGGCGGTGCGAGCATCAGTTCTGCCGCAGCAGGACACGATCTGGTGCGGTGCCGGCGGCGACGGCCGCCGCCAGCGGCGCGTGGCCAGCTGCGTCGCCCGCTCAGGCCGCGCCAGCCCCGGCGGCGGCGTCTCCAGCAGGGTGGAACGCTGTCGGGCGGCGGCAGGCCTGCGGCCCGTCATTCCGGGCCAGATGGGGCCGGGCACGCGTCGCTCACAGACGCCATGCCGCTGGTGTTAGGCTTGCCTTCCTGAGCCGACGTTAACTGCGGAACGGGCACGAATTTAACTTCCCTGCGTAAAATGCATTTCCGTGTATACCGTGTTTCTAGCGTTACACCTGACTGTGGGTGTGGGTGCGGGTGGTGCACTTTGGTTATACATGTTTTTTTTGCACTGAAAAAACAATCTTGAATACGATTTTTTGGTCGCGAAACGATTCAAACTTTGATGTGCTCGTGCCGGCCTTCAACTGGGACAAAGCGGCAACGATAACCCTACTCCTATATTCCAGTATGACATTCTAATCCATCGCTGTAAACTAGCAGAGCTCATGGAATTTTACGGCGGCATAAAGTTTAATGCTTCAGCAATTAATTCAACCATAAACCCGACGCCCGACGACTTAATAGATCATACAAAGAATTTTAGAGGCTCACGGGATGGCTACAAAGATCCCTTTTCCCCAGTTTATCACGAAAGGCTGAAATTTTACGGGCCAGTGATTGCACCCCACGACACTTCTGTGGTGAAATTCATTCCCCTCTAACAGGCAGCGGGTGCCAGGCAATCTAACCAGGGCAGTAGGAATGCGGGGCCTGCCGTTATGAACGGGATGTTAATCATAGCTTTCCTCCAATCAGCGGAATTGCAGATCGTCGAAAATGATGCCGAGCGGTGGGATGGTGTGTGACAGAAGAACCATGACCATGCGACAATATCCCGATTCAAGGGGTGTCTGGTGGATCCTTTCCTGACGGCTGCAATTGGGTCGCTGACAGATGCAGAGCGTGCGCACACCGAGCGCGCAAACTCAGATGGTGTGCCTGCCAAATATAGGCCAATGCTAATGCAGGAGGTGAGGCCTGTCATATGCCAAGATTGGACGGCTTTTGGAAGTTTCGTAACGCTTTAGTATTCTTTAAACTTTGCTTTACGGAACTTTCGAGCGAGAAATTTGGCCCTGAATGCCTTAGCTTAGCCCAGTTGATTACGCATTGTAGAGGACGAGCGGTAAAAGCTTCCAGTCTCCTTGTGAGCCTACGTGCCAAGCGTGGCAGAATATCAAAACAGCTTTATGACCGGGCTGGGCAAGCGAATTATCATCTTTTTGGCATAGTTTTAGCCAAGCCAAGTTATTTGTACGCCAATTCTTGCGTTTTCTAGTAAGATGACCCATCAAAAAATCCCTTTTTTCTCAAAACCCCATGCCCTCAAAACTGCCTTACGCGCATATGCATACAGGTGTAAATACAATTTTACAGCGTAGTTATCAAAATAGCTGATTGCTAGTGGGCAGCTGAGTGAAATATGAATACAAACAGCGCGTTGTTTTATGACCTGTGAAATGCGGACATGCATTTGCCCACCGTGCGTAAGTGGCTACCCCTGTACGCTGCGACCCGAAAACTGGGGTGGCTGACAGATGTTCTTTTCAATCGAATGATCATAGCAAGTTGCAAATAACAATGTCCTTTTTCAATCGATTTAGAGCGAACAGCATAGTCCGCAGGCTAAGTCGGCCATCAGGTCTCAAGGGCACATCAAGCACACTTACAAGCTTTAGATTGCCCCCAATTGGCCCTGTCGATACACATATGCCTTGCTGAGGAGCTGCGTGACACTTCACAGACCTCTCAGTGGGACTCATCAGTGTGCTGACCGACATCTTCTGGAAAATGACGGTCTCCTGGAATGCTGGTAATGTCGCCTGCAAGATCATCAAGTTCTTCCAGGTGGGTAAAATACTGCTATTGGACACTGCGTGTGCCGAGGCGGGGTGGACCCGAGCTCTCACCCGACGACTCATTCAAACCCGCTGCTGGGTCTCAGTTTTAGCGATCCCCTTCGGAGACGTTTTGAGGTGCTTATTTGCCTAAGCAGCCTTGGTGTCTGTCTCTCTGATTTAATGCATGTGGAGCGCATTAATCCGTGACTATAATGAAAGAGGGCTGTCGTTTTCCCACCATGCAGCAGTTCCGTGGTGGGGACAAGCAGTTCCGTCTGGCTCCGCTGCATATGGCATTATACACTATTGCATCAGCTGCATAGTGTATCAGCAGTGCCTCTCAAGTAACCGAGTGGCATCAACGCCCCCACAACACGACGTGCCGAAATCCTCCCAATCGTCTCAGGGGTCTCTTGCATCGCAACGAGGGGTGATAAGCAGCCTCTTGCTCTATCCAGGACACAGAGGCCTGCCTTGACACGGCGATGGGGAAGGTACGGCATCTCATTGGCACCTGAGAGATGTGTGGTGTGACTGACTTCCTGGCATTCCAGTGGTCTGCGGCGAGTCCAGCCCAGCAGGTCATTGACTTACTCGGACACGTCCATGGCAACAGTTGTACCACACAGCTCATTTAGTCAGCCCCGTGACACTGATCACGCAGAATGCCGTGCAGTGTTCCGTTCGAGTCGACCCATATTTGTCTCTGATCAGTCGGTTCTCAAATGTCTCAAATGATCACAGTTTGACGGGACCCGTCTCCAGCCGCCATCAGCTGACCCGCGTGTGACTGCAGAGAGTCCGCGCTGAGCGTTCCCTGTGGACAGATCCTGGTCACCTACTCGTCCACGTACGTGCTGGTGGCCCTGAGCATCGACCGGTGCGACGCCATCACGCACCCGATGAACTTCACCGGCAGCTGTGAGTCAGCGTCACGGTCTCAGTCACAGTCGCAGACACAGTCGCAGTCACAGTTACAGTTACAGTTACAGTCACAGTTACAGTAAAAGTGACAGTGGCAGTCACAGTCACAGTCGCAGTTACAGTCACAGTCGCAGTCACAGTTACAGTTACAGTTACAGTGGCAGTGGCAGTCACATTGGCAGTCACAGTCACAGTCACAGTCGCAGTTACAGTCACAGTCACAGTCACGGGCACAGGCACAGGCACAGGCACAGGCACAGGCACAGTCACAGTCACAGTCACGGTCACAGTCAGAGTCACAGTCACAGTCACAGTCACAGTCAGAACCACGGTCACAGTTACAGTCCCATGCGAATCAGATTCCATGTGCTTACATGCGAATCACATGAATACCGATGTAGGTCTCATCCACATACATGGGATGCACACATGGGCACTGACCGATGCGACACTATCGCGCACCCGATCATGGGATGATGATCTCATAGATCATCCTCTCATGGGCCATCATCATGGGTCATTGGCCAACATCATCTCATGGACCACCTTGATGGTCATGCATGATTATGGTCCATGAGATGATGTGGATCCCATGTACTTACACTTCGTTTTTATTCATCTTTTTATGTGTACTGTGGGTTTAGCACATTCTGTTGTTACTTTGGAACGTTTGTTGGCATCATCTTTCGACTTTGAACGTATGCGATAGTGTCACATTTCATAGTGTCGCATTTTGTGGAATGTCATTTTATAGCATATTTCGTCGGATCAATACTTTATAGTGTCTTTTCAATGGCTTGCAACGGGCGAGTGAGCGTTGTGACGAACCGAATCTAGCAAGCGTTGTAACGAGCCAAGACCTGAAAAATATCGTGAAGGGATTTCGATCAAACAGATACAAATAAGGTTACGGTAAGCATCACGGTTGCGACCACACTTACAGCGACGTCGCAATAGCGTTCACAATGGCGGCCACTGCCACGGTCCCACGGCCACGGTGCCATTCCCACGCGGTGTCACCGAGTCAAACTCATGAGCATAGACCCAAAGACGGTCATAGCCGTGGTGTCTACGGCCGTAATCCTAGTCATAATCTGCCATCGCTACACTTGGTCACGGCCCCAGCGATGGCTCCAGCAGCAGTCGCTGTGCACAGATATCAGAGCAGCAGGTTTAGTCTCGAGGTCTAGTTTGCAGCGACGCGTTTGTTTTGCTTAAGGGCGCGCGCTGTCGCCCTGGTCGCCTGCTAAATGGTGCCTTAAATTTCACTCCTCGTCAGGCACTCCAAAGACGTTCATTCGCCTTTTGAGACGAAAGCAGAACCAGAAGGCCAGTCAACGACGCCTCTGTGGTTCCAGAAACTTCGTCTGTGCCATTCAGATAGCTGCGCAAAATTAAAAACCGCGATTTGCATATGGTCTGGCGTCCGTCGTATCTCAGAGTGCCAGAAGCCTCAGCCTTCATCCGAACTCTCGCTTTGTGAAGTTACATTGACAGTCAAGTGTTCCGAAGTCAAATGTTCTCATGTAGGAAAGCCAACAGTCCAACACGTCCTCAGAGTATGGGCCAGCACCACTAAGCTGTTCATCCATCGGATCTTCGGGTCAACCGAGCCGAAAAGCTAATAGTTCGCCGGAAGGAAAAGTTCAGTCCATTGAGCATACGGATCTTCTCAGAAGTGGCAGTTGAGTGAAACTTGCGAGGTGCAGCTGACCTGGCTGAACGAGCGGAGTGCCCAGCAACAAGCTCCGGCAGCGATCCCAATCCAAACCCATCAAACACCCACAACAAGGCCGGAAGCTAAACCTCATGGACATCGAGTTGCCCGGCAGCGCCCCGCACTTGTTCATGATGATCATATGCAAATACAGACACACATCATATGCAAACGCGCAGAGAACCTCTCTTTTGATTCATCCTGAATGGTTTTGCCTGGGCGTGACGGGGTCGAACCACATAACGTAGGCTAGTGGTCTTCAAACAACGGGTCATCATCCAAGTTGCATCCGCTGGGCTGTTTCAGTTAGGTTGCATAGTTGCATTCTAAGCACAGGGAAATTTACACATAAATATGCCAAACCTTGAGCAACTGACAAAAGCAGTTGAATACGTACCGACTTCGTTCTGATAGTCGCGGGACCGGTTGCAGTCAAATCCGCGGCATATTTCCGACATGTACACAATTTCTCATGAGCATAAAAAGGAACAATAAACCTCTTAGGGTTTTAAAGATAATGATCTTAAATCAGAGCAAAAGGCCACGAAAACGGACACAACGGGTTGCCAGTGTAAAAGGAGGCAACTGCGCGCCCTGAGCTGAAGCCCTCGTAACAGATAATCAGGTTATCTTTTTCATTCTTACTGCAGTAGACGATAACCACAAGCATTCGCATATGGTGACCTTTTCGGATTAGGTTACCAAACCGACTCGATACACATGAGCATCCGTAAAATGTTGCACCGCCCGAGCTCGCTCGGACTGATGGCCATCAAAGCACTGCCCGGGCCTGCTCGGACTGATGGTCATCAAAGCGAGCTCGCTCGGACTGATGGCCATCAAAGCACTGCCCGAGCTCGCTCGGACTGATGGCCATCAAAGCACTGCCCAAGCTCGCTCGGACTGATGGCCATCAAAGCACTGCCCGAGCTCGCTCGGACTGATGGCCATCAAAGCACTGCCCGAGCCTGCTCGGGCTGATGGCCATCAAAGTACTGTTCGAGCCTGCTCGGACTGATGGCCATTAAAGCACTGCCCTTTTTGTCTGACTTGCTGTGATGATGAAAGTCGTCAGCCTCAGGTGGACGTGGCCAAGTGTCGTCATATCCCAAAGGAATTTTTTCATTTCGCTCACCCGAAATCACTAATGGGGCACGTTCCGCAGGACCGATCTTCCAAACGTGCACATGCTTCACTTTGGAGTCGTTCCGACAAATAGTACGCACATGCTCTGCGTCACAATTGCAGCAGTGTGTATTATAACCGATAATCGTATATGGTCACAGGCAAAGACAAACATCATTCAGCACAGAACTGTTTTTAATGACCAAAATTTTTACACGCGTAATTTTTATATTTTCGTCCGTTTCTGCGGAACTGTGGCGCTGCTCCTGAGAGGGCATCAAGAAAGAATGAACAAAGTTAGGCTACATTCAGCCTAGAACATTCAGAATACCCATCTTTGCTTTCAGTACTCCTGATATGTGGTTCAAAAACGGGCTGTGCCATGTCAGGTGATATCAAACTGGATGGTGGCGGGAAAAGACTGAAGATCTTTGCCCTGAACCATCGTATAAAAACTGTGTTGCGCACCGGCCTTGTATGGGCCGAAATCTTCAGCTGCTCTTCTTAACATGCCAGTTAGAAAAAAATGATAGACTAAAAAATGTTTGGCCGGTTGTTAATCCAAAGTTCAAACAAGTCCTTACACTACCATTGCGGTGAGGCGCCAGGCAGCGGTTGAGAAAGCACCACCATCTGACATAGAGCGACCAAAGGCAGTGAACCACCACGACAGCGCCGCCGCCGCCGCCGCCGCCGTCGCCGTCGGCCGTCCGTCCGTCTTCTGAGCCCCACTGATGCGGCGGCTATGTTCCAGGGCGGCGCGCCAAGCTGCTGATAGCATCCGCCTGGGCGCTCAGCGCCCTCTTCTCGCTGCCCTACCTGTACATGTATGAGGAGCAGCTGGTCGAAGGTGAGGCGGCCCCGCTGGGCCGGCCCGCTACCTGGCGCCGCCGGCCGAACCCGGCTCCGCTTGGCAAACGGGCACTGTGACGTATGGAGGCCGATGTTGCAGATGCGCGATATCCTGCGCTAAAATATGCTACGCACATCGTTATCCAGAGAATCCTAGATATCATATGGCGGCGTCGAGGAAATCTAGACAACTCGTTACGTTTTGGACCACTCCGGTAGCCTATCAAGCGTTTCTTGAGGAATGAACAGCTTTTGGACTCCGCCTGTGTTTACACGCATGTCACCGGAGCGTGCGATCGTCGACACTCTGTTCGGTCAGAACCTGTGTACTGTTAGCCGAGTTTTTGTGGTAATCTCTCACCTGTTGTTTACATCTGGCTTTGCTTCAACGGCGTTGCAAAGGGTGGTTCATGTCTATGTCACCCAGTATCTGAGATCCCACGATACTTCTGTATCATACACACACACACACACACACACACACACACACACACACACACACACACACACACACACACACACACACACACACACACACACACACACACACACACACACACACACACACACACACACACACACACCACACACACACACACCACACACACACACACACACACACACACACACACACACACACACACACACACACACACACACACACACACACACACACACACACACACACACACACACACACACACACACACACACACACACAACACACACACACACACACACACACACACACACACACACACACACACACACACACACACACACACACACACACCACACACACACACACACACACACACACCACACACAACACACACACACACCACACACACACACCACACACTACACACACACACACACACACACACACACACCACACACAACACACACACACACACACACACCACACACACACACACACACACACACACACACACACACACACAACACACACACACACACACACACACACACACACACACACACACACACACACACACACACACACACACACACACACACACACACACACACACACACACACACACACACACACACACACACACACACACACACACACACACACACACACATATATATATATATATATATATATATATATATATATATATATATATATATATATATATATATATGTGTGTGTGTGTGTGTATGTATGTATGTATGTATGTATGTATGTATGTATGTATGTATGTATGTATGTATGTGTCTATGTATGCACGTATGTATGTATGTATGTATGTATGTATGTATGTATGTATGTATGTACGTACGTACGTATGTCTGTATGTATGTATGCATATACGTAGGTATGTAATGTATGGGCTACAGACCCGCCGGGTATTCATCCAAAGTTTCATAAACCTGGAGCAATATTTGTATCGCTTTTAAATATTCTTCATTTGTATTGCTCATTTCTATTTACACCTATCCATCAGCTGGACACACCTTTTAAAGGTTTAATTGAGCCCGCCACGCCAGCAGAATATAGGTTGAGGTCAACTGGAAAGTTCATTGAAATTATTAAGTTTAGCAATCCCACCGATTTACATGCTTTATTGGACGTAGAAAGTATGCTCATAAACACGCCTGTTGATGAAGCAATCCGTATTATACTGGACTGCGTCTACCACCACCCAATCTCGCCACCACTGAAATTGTCACCATCAATCCCTCGAAAAAAATGTTCCGATGCTGCACCACAGAGGCACTATTCCGTTGTCCGAACAGAAGACTCTGCCGTCGAGTAGATGGTGTGGCGATGGGGTCGCCGCTCGGCCGCTTCCTTGCGAATAGGTACATGTGCTGGCTAGACAACCATGTCCTCAAAACCCTGGCCCTTAAACCACATGGATACTGCGGACGTGTCGATGACATCTTTGTTCATGTCAGAGACTCGACCTAACTTTACTAATTGCAGGCTGATATGCAACGCCAGTCGTTATCACGATTGACAACTGATCAGAATGTCAACAACCGTTTACGATTTCTTGTCATCGATGTGTATGTGAGTAACGGAACTATTGAGACGAAAGTGCACCGTAAGCCTACTGATGCTGCCGCATGCTTGAACTCGGCTAGCGAATGCCAAGAGCGCTACCGCGCGGTCGTCATCTGTTCGGTGGTGCGACGCGCGCCGAAGCATCGCTCCAGCTGGTCCAGCACACATTAAGAACTTGAACGGTGCAAGCAGTTACTCGTTAAAAACGGCCATTCGAACAGCGCAGTTGACCAAGAGATTAGGTTCACCTTGAATCGGCAAAAGCTGGAACCAGTCGACAAGAGACCGACCCATCAACTTTTATTGAAATCAAATGTCCCCGTGCTATAAGGTGATAAAGTTTTGCGGAGCATTTTGACGACAAATATCACTCCGACTGACCAATATACCGAAATAAGATTTGCCATCTATATTAAGAGCAAGACAACCCGCAGCCATGTAATGAAAAACAACCTGACGGCAGACCAAAACCAACTAAAGAGCGCCAGAAAGGTTCAATAATTTAAATGCCCGGACGGAGATAGCCGGCTGCGCAGCTCGACATATATTGGAACGACTACGGCATCTCCTTCATCACGTGTGACGATGCACCTGCAGGAGAGAGCACCAGACCAGCATGTGCGCAAAACCTATAATAAGAAACCCTACGTTTTGACCTAACTGAAAACACACTGATTCTAAGATCATGTCCAAAAACCTGTTCACAAGTTCTCAAAGCCAGCCTCACCAGATATAGAAATTCTGACAGAAACAAACAGCTTAGGTCACCTGATTAAATACGCATTTGTCCTTGCATGTAACAGAAATTGCGTTAATGTAAGCTTACTTTCTCTGTGGGCAAAGGTGTGCACACTGACACACACACACACACACACACACACACACACACACACACACACACACACACACACACACACACACACACACACACACACACACACACACACACACACACACACACACACACACACACACACACACACACACACACACACACACACACACACACACACACACACACACACACACACACACACACACACACACACACACACACACACACACACACACACACACACACACACACACACACACACACACACACACACACACACACACACACACACAATATATATATATATATATATATATATATATATATATATATATATATATATATATATATATATATATATATATATGCTATTATATAAAGCTGCTATTTAAAAAAGTGTTTCCCCGCTGCGAAGTTTACTATGGCATGCCACTTCCTCGCATCACTAATCTTATTATTATTGTTATTATTATTATTGCGGACCTTGGCGAAATCCAGCGAGTGGCTATTCTAACACCGCGTCAGCACATATCACATGTATAAGCACAGAACACGGAAAATATGCAAATGGGACGCAATGCCAGCAATGCGCATAAGATTTGTTGTTCATTGGTGTTTTCGGGCGCGTCAACTTCAGTGGTCATTTTGCGCCCATAACGATGCTTTTACTTACCTAGTACGGTGTGAAAATGACGAAAATCAATATCGTTTAAGAACGAAGAGAGTTGTTTGAAATCGAGAAAGGAAGAACTGTCCCCGAGCACATCGCTAATCGTCAGGGGCGAAGCTTGCGGACCAAAGTGACGTCGTTCTTCGATGAGGCATGGACATGATACAATGACATGGTGGACAGTGAGAGCGGCACTGCACCGCTGGCATAGGGGTCTGTCGACTCCGTGCAACAGATGGCCATGTGTGGCATACGTATGCCCAACACGCAGCCTGCATAAAGCCTCTTCTTCCCACCGCACACTGCGAGAGCATGACGACCACAAGCCCAACTCGGTTTTTATCGCCCTGAGCTTATTGCCGCCCACCTGGTCCAAACAACGCTACAATTTGCTTCTCAGGAAGGTCTTAACTGCCGGGTAGACTGCCTTAACTGCTTAACTGCCGGGATAGGCAAAAACCGGGTATATGGTGTCATCGCTGCTCGCTTAGTAGCGGCATCAGCCAACTCGTTGCCCACGATACCGACGTGACTGGGGACCATGGCACCCCAAGAAGCAGCTGGCCTCTTGCCCAGCCAGAAACGCGACGTGTAGTGCCTGTGGCATCAAAGGACACTACACATCAGTCTGCAAGCGGGCCAGACGGAGCAACACGCGGTCAGACTACGGAGAACGACAGACGCCCGACAACCTCCATGTGAACAACGTGCGTGTTCAAGGCGTGCCCGCGAAGAAGACGCCACAAATGTCTCTCCTGGTCAGCCATCAGAGAAGTGAGGGATCACTCCTGTGGACGCCAGACACTGGTACCGAAGTCTCCGTCATCGGCACCAAAGGAGCAGAGGGGATCGACACCGACTCCTCGCAGCTGACACAGCCGGCCGACAGTCTCCTGGCCGCTGGAGGACATCAGCTGGAGTGTACCGGCACGTTCCAGTGCAAGTTGACCATGGGACGACGCCAGACGTCGACCACCGTGACGGTTGTGACAAGCCTTGACGCGGTCCTCCTGTCATGGCATGGCTCCATCGCCGTTGGCATCATCTCGCCTGACTTCCCGAGACAGATCTACGGTGTCACAGGAACAACAACGCAACAGACTGCTGCTGAAGAGACGACGTCTACACCCGTGACGACTCAGGACGTTCAAGCGGCAGAAGTCAGCCCGCCCCTTCCAAGATGGAAACCAGACGACGGGGACCCGACGCCAGCCCAGAAGGACCAGCGCCTCGACACACTGGAGAAGGCGTTCCCGAGAGTGTTCAGCACCCAGCCACCGCTGAGGGAGTTGTCAGGTGGTCCAATGCAGATCGATCTCCGGCCAGACGCTTGTCCGTACGCTGTGACAGCCGCCAGACACATCCCGCATGCATGGCGAGACGACATCAAGCATCAGCTGGACGATCTGATCGCGCAAGACGTCATGACGCCCGTGGCACACCCGACCGAGT